ATCTGTCATCTAGACATAAATCTGGTGCATTTTGTGAACAATGAGAAAATTAGTCGATTTTCTGCTAGGACTGTAAATTCATCCAGTGGTGAGGAAAGGATAATTGATGCAAGACATTTCAGTTCGTTTTGCGATTGATCTGTCACAGGGCAGATATGCTAGGAGTGACCTGTCGAATTTGGCTTTCGAATTGCCTGACAAGGAACAAGAGTGCGGTAATCACACCGTCAGATTTGCCTCTTACAATGCGAGCATTATTGGCAGATAAAGTAAATATGCATGAACGTCCACGTTTCAACGAAACATTTATCGGAAGTGTCATGTCAAGACTACAAAATCTTACTACTCATCGGAGGTTAGTAAAAAGGTCATATCCAAGGAATCAGCCAGGACGGATGCTTTGAAATCTGCATGCTGCTGGGTCGCGTTGTGACGCTGCAAGGGCGTAAATGTCTCCGGACCGCCTGTAAGCCATTCACTGTTAAAAGATGTTCACTTTTTCTGTCAGACGTGACCCCTTTCAATGTGAACTTCAAACAACTGGGATTTCTAGGCTTCATAGTATAGGCTTCATCCTTATCCAGCAAAGTCGTATATCACTTCGAAATTTGTCGTTCATTATTCAGCGCTGAGCGGCTAAATAAGACGGCATAAAAAAACAAATAAATAAATCCTTCAGCTGTGATGCCCTGCCATGCTACTCGAAGGAAGCATGAGGGCTGGGATACTGTCAGGTTGCCCAAGCTTACACAGAGGAAGTCGAGAAGCAGAGGTCGGGTTTGAACCAAGGACCTTCTGGTCAGTAAATTCGCGCTCTAACCATCTCGCCCCACCACTTGAACCATCTCACCCCATACCTTTATTCCGACGTAGTCCTTTTTCGGACCAACCAATGTACCCAACTTTTCCTAGAGAATACAACAGTTGACCAGCACTGCATCCCGGTTCCGTGGGTTAACCAGAATGACTGCCTGGTATTCAACGTAACCATCGGTATAAGGAGCTCAAGTCAACTCGCTGATTAAGGCTCGGAACGGCTGGTTTGAACGCAACCTCAGAATCCCGACTACTATCTAGGTTTGGACAAACTGGCAGCATCTTGGCTCTAGTGTTTCCTTCGAATGACGGGAAGCCACCCACCGAAGGGATGGTACAGCTGAACCATACATACCTCAGTATTTGTATTAGCTCTTACGGAAGTGTGTCTGATGAAGTCCGTGCAAGAATCTCAAAGGCTTGAACTACGTTTGCTAATTTGCGTCACTTGTGGCGTCAAAAAGACATCTCACTATAAAAAAAATTAATCGTCCAGCTGTAGCACCCTTTCGGTGTCTAGCTGCCGTGCCGCACGAAGGAAGCACGAGGGCTGGGGTACTGCCAGGTCGCCCAAGCCTAGACAGGGGAAGTCGAGAGGCAGAGGTTGGGTTCGAACCACGGACTTTCCGGTCAGTAAATTCGCGCTCTAACCACTTGATCCATCTCGCTAGACCTTAACAGTCGTATGTACCAGGCTACAGTAGGGGCTGTGGTGTTGTATGGGTGCGAGACATGGCCTCTGCGGACAGATGATGTGAGGCGTCTTCAGGTTTTCGACCATCGATGCCTCAGAAGCGTGGCTGGTTGTGGATGGCGTCATCGTGTTAGTAACGAGGGGATTAAAAAAACGGGTATCTGGTTGTGCTGCAGGTACTTCATTCCAGAGAAACATGCAGCATCATCGATTACGATGGCTCTGCCTTGTGTCACTCGTGCCGAAACACTGTTTACCGAGACGAGTGCTGTTCTTCGTACCTACTTCAGGATGGCGTGAACCGCGAGGTGGACAGCACATGACTTGGCAGAAAGGCGTGAAAGAGGTCACGAAGAGTTTGGGTGTTGTTGGTGTTTACGCCTTCCAGGATGGGGTTCCGTGACCGTGCCTGTCCTTGGCTGGAGACGTTGCGAAAATAGCGGCTAATCGATGTCAGTAGCGCTCTTGCTGTCAGTTTCTTTCCATATTGTCTGACTGAGCGGTTGGAAGTGTAAACACCTCAGAATGCTTGGCATAGGCCAGCACTAGGTCCCCTCGTTCACCCACTCCTTTTCCCTTCACTGTAGGACTTTCAATATAATGATATGTATATATAATATATGTATATATATATATATATACANATTATCAGTGGTTAAGGCGACAACTTACCGACCAAAAGGTCCGTGGTTCGAACCCAACCTCGACTGCTCCTCTCTACCCTTGGGCAACCAGTCGGTATGTCGGCTCTCGTGCTTCTTTCAGCCATTACATCCATGCACCGAAAGGGTGTTTGTGCTGAACGGTTATTGTTGTTATTAGCGGTATCAACTTATTCCACCCTAATGGTGGCAATCAGCGTCACCAATTTGGTATGGCTCTCGCTTTTCTTCCAACCACTTATCACACTGGTTTTGGGTAAGAGCGGTGCTTTCCCTGGGGACCTTTTCAAACTTCAGTTGTGCAGTGGCTCATCCGTTTGATGGAAGGCGGTAACTCTCTACGTACAGTGTAGCGCAAAGTGGCGATGCACCCCACTGTGTGCGTATTCTAGTCGCGACTAAGAACAAAACTTCTCCACTGTGTAACTTATTTTGTTTTTACCATGCACAGTAAGGACGGAACTGAATGCGGTCCGTCCTGCTGGACAACTTCCTGGTGTTCGACAGACCAAGTGACTTCGGAGCCAGTAGTGCACTCTTCCGAAATGCTTCATTTGGGCCATTGTTTTGAGGACTAGATCATCATCATTATTGACAGCAACGCCAAGTGAGAATACTGGTGCTTCACTGCAGTACAGTCTGTCGATTTATTTTCATAAAGTCTTATAACAGAGAGATTAAAAAGTTGGAACGGGGAGGATAACCTAGGACCAGCTCATCACAAACATTCGAGGTACCTCTGTCTAGGCTTGGGCAACCTGTCAGTGTCCTAGCCCTCGTGCTTCCTTCGAGTAGCATGACAGCTAGGCGCCAGAGGGATGTTACAGCTGAACAATCTACTATTTTATTTATTTATTCGAGGTGCCTACACCTCCAATACTTAGTCAAACAATCTGGATAGAACGCCACCATATCCGTCTATCATGACAACTTCTGTTCACCTATAGCACAGTGACTGTCACGTGGATCCCGTCCTGAGAGTTGAATAGCACAAACCGCACCCTAGCTTTCCGCAACAGCTTTCATATCCGTCTATCATGACAACTTCTGTTCACCTATAGGTTTCTGCCGCTCCGAATTAGGCACAGATCATAAAGCTTCTCTCGGCATTCGTAACACATAGCCCTAAGTTGTAGTCCCGGATGCATTCTTTACCTGCTCCACCAAAGATCTGTTTCTTGGTTACACTCCAAATTCACCAGTTTCAGCCAACTATAGCTATGGCTTTGAATAATAGACGGCTAAAGACTTGAAGATGTCTCAGATTCTCTGCTGCAAGTGGCTAAGTCTTGCAGCAGTGACACCCGGATTGTAACCTGATACACGGGGATTGTAGATAATCACTCATCTAATCTATATTCTTTTACGTGTGAAAACTGGTTGATTTGATGATTGAAAAATGGGTTTCTGTCCGACTCAACTCATTTATCAGCCATAAACCGTGCACCGTAGACACCTTATTTCCAGTTGCTACAGTTCCGCTCACCGGGAATCGGGAGATTGTGGGTCATACAGCCAAACACTGGAGGCCATTGCATGTTTGTTTAGTTCAGGAACCGGGTAGCTACGCATTAAAGGAGATAGTTTTGATGCGCGTTTGAACCATTTCTACCAGCGTCACTAACCATTTTTAAGTTGAGTCCCAGAGCTTCCATCCAGCGAGACAGCAGTTGTCAACCCGACTAAGGTTACTGGCTAGTGTTTTCATACTCCGTTGTCAAGTCATACTCTGTCCACCTCTCGGTTGCACTCTTCTGGGAGAAGAACTCTGTCTTTGTGGACCAAATGATTTTTTCATCTAAGAAATGAGGGATGCACTGTTCGTGGTGCGCAAACGTCCGTACAATTCTTCTTTATCTACCAGATCTCGTAGGGGAACACCACAGACCAATAAACTGATAATTGAGGCGATTGAGAAGCCGTATGTTGAGTCCACTGTCTTCGGAGCACGTGCCGGTTGACTAACTGTTCGAATTCTCCATTCTTCCTCCATTGCACGTTATATCTCTCGAACGTCACGGGGATGTCTCTGATTCCCACAGAAGAAGCATTCTTCGCCTGTTGCGATCGACGTTTTTCTTGATTTGCGGGTGATTGAGATGTATTTTACCAGATGAATATCACAAACCCAAAAAGACTTGCCGTGTTTGGATGTGGTAAAATTTCGCAAGTTCCCTTCTAACGGCTCTTGGGATTAGGTTCAAAATCTACCAATCATTTAGCAGGATTAGGGCGGTCCAAGTTGGTAAACCGGGTTCGTGAGCTCATCTTGGAATTGAAGGCATGTTCTAAGAGAGTGCAACCAATGAAGAATATCTTTTTTCTGGCTGGAAGGAAACTGTGAATTTATACGTGTAGGATAGCATGATGAAGCGTCGGGTGCTTCATCCGGTGCCGTGTGATAGGCCGCACAAGCTCTGCTGATCAATCGTCACAAGCCGAGTGTATGACCACGAAGAGAATCGAGTTCGATTGTTAAATTGTTGTAGCTTTATTGATCTCTGTTTTATTGGAACACATCCTAGTGGTAATGAAACTCGAGACTTCTGTCATATTTCACACGTATTGCGGTGTTGAGAGCTAGTACGAGGTGATATCATCCTGCAATGGCTTTCCTTTCACTGTTCTATCCGGATTAATCAGGGGAACGTAATATTTTACATAACAGTATCTTCCTGTTTCTGATTACAGAAACGCTGTTTTGACCCACACACTTTCTCGGCACGGAATCCACTGACTTACTGGATTCACAATGGTAACTCTATCTCTTCGCAAATTTCTGAGCTTCACAGATCCATTTCCTCCTGCTCTTCAGTCGGCAAGGCAAAATGCGCCTTCAGAAATGGTACAGTTCTTATTCGGATAAGCAAAAGAAGAAGATCCTGCGTGAGATCACATCGCTCATATTTGCCAGAAAACCCAAAATGTGTTCATTTTTGGAATGGCAAGATATGAAAATAGTGTATCGCAGGTATGAATTCCAACTGGTCCTGTGTTACCTCCTCACACAGATATGCAAGTTTGTACTTTGCTTGCGCTATCGACACCACCGACAACGAACTCATCACGCTGGAAATAATACACCGTTATGTGGAAATCCTGGATAAGTACTTTGGGAACGTGAGTCTTTTATCTCTTCGGCGGCTTACGGGCGTGTTATAGGTGTGTGAACTAGACATTATTTTCCATTTTGAGAAGGCATATTTCGTACTAGATGAGTATCTCCTGGCCGGAGAAGTACAAGAGACTGGAACACGAGAGATTCTCCAGGTGATTGATGCTCAGGACATCATACAAGAGGTGGGTCATTTAGTTTTTGGTATCACATTCTATCCTTCTTCTGTTATGCAGGATGAAGTACCACAGAAACTGTTTGAAGATCAAAGTCTGAATTGAAGGACTTCGAATCTCGTCGCTATTATGCTCCACCCGCTGGAGGATACCATGACAATGCACCTCTATGACATTTGTGATAATCATACTGATTTGCTATATTTTTGTCCACCGCCTACTGTACAGACACAGCAGTACATGTGATCCATATTTTTGCGCCATGTTGGTCCTATACAATTGTTAGTACCTATTTTCGTCAAACTACGCGTTCTTCTGGACGGCAGCCGTAGCACTCTGCGATAGTGGGTGGTGTGATCAACAGCTTCTAGCCTAGAGTGTTCGACACATGTGGATGTTGCCTCACGCGTGCTCGCTGTTGCTAGCCCTCCTACCGCCAACTAGACACAAGGCTTACTGGTGGCCACCTAAAGCAGTCATTTTTGAGTTGATGCATCATAAAACGTGTAGCATACTGATGAGAAAAGTGAGTACTGGGAAATAGCCTTCCGCAAATTTGAAATTCAGATAACCTCTCGATACTGAACGAGTTGGGGACCATTTTTTTCGGCAGAATTGTTGGAAACACCGAGCAAACGAGCGAATTGCGGTCAAAACTTTAGGCTTGGTTCTTCTCCCTCGGCAGCACAACATCAATCCTCAGTACCGATGGCCCGCTAACTTACGACCATAATTTGCTTGTGCACCTTACTGTGAGTAAAAGAACAAGTGGATGGGAAAGGGATTTAGTGCTAGCCTACCACAATCGTTTCGAGCTGGCTACTTTTCTTGACTGGATAGAAAGTGGTAACACCGGCCATTGACATCGATGTGCACCTACGTCTTGCAGTGTCTGCAAGCACGCACATGGAAGACCACGCGGGCGCCATTTTGGAAGACGAGGTGCAGCGTCAACAACCAGATTTTTCGTTGTCCCTTTCATACCCCTCTGTCAAGTCAAACGTCGACCACTCTTCTATTTGCACTACTCTTGGTTGGGCACGTATAACAATACTTTTCGCAATGTGCAGTACATCAGTAGATCACAACGGATTTTGATGTGGGTTACATTCTTCGTTTTGTTCCTGCTGCACAACTGAACACTTGCTTTCTAATCATGACGTCACGAATTCGCCGAGACCAGCCTACATGCGCTACGGTTCTCAGACAATGGTGTCAAAGGCAAGAAGACATCTTAGCTCCGCTGCTCACAGGAGCCAGGTCTCAGAACCATACAACAAAACAGCCTGTGCAGTAGCCTGATACGCCCGTTCCTCGGGATTTAGAGATAGGCCACTTTGCCACCACAGGTACCTCGAACTTGCAAATATCGACCCAGGACTAGAGATTCGTGCATCAACCTCATCTGTTGCATCACAATCACAACTAATACAACTTCCAAGATGCGTAAAACGCTCCCCCTGGATTCAATATAAGGCCCATTTTGCCTATTCTCTCCAGTTCTTTGAAACAATCGCCTTTTTCAAAATATAAGCAAATAGATCGGGCATGCACAGACTCAGGACTACACCCTCATCCTTGAACATTGCGGGTGGGAGGTCACCCAGACCAGGATCTCGGTAGCGCAATCAAGGACCTCGAATGACGTATAATGTTTCATGGTAAAACGCTCCCCTGGATTCAATATAAGGCCCATTTTGCCTATTCTCTCCAGTTCTTTGAAACAATCGCCTTTTTCAAAATATAAGCAAATAGATCGGGCATGCACAGACTCAGGACTACACCCTCATCCTTGAACATTGCGGGTGGGAGGTCACCCAGACCAGGATCTCGGTAGCGCAATCAAGGACCTCGAATGACGTATAATGTTTCATGTTCACCTTCGACTGAGTAGCAGCAGGTGGTCACCAAAACTATTCTTGAAAGTGGTCTGTCCAGCGACCAAGGCACCTTTCTTTATAAAAGGATTTGATTCATGGCGGTTTCGCTCACATGCGGCTTTGGGGTATAGGTCGCGCCAGTTAACTAGGATAATGTTCGGACATTCTTCGCCTCTTCTATTTGCTTAGCCCTCCGTATACGCCAGCCTTCAAGGCCAGCGCACACGCTTGTTTTCAGCTGACAATTGGTAATTCGAGGGTTTGGATCAGGTTTCTGAGTAGCACGAACACCCAGATTCAATCACTTCCACTTTTCCCCTTGATGTCCACCGCTTGGGTGGATCCAGTGGTGTGCTGCAACCGAAACGGCATTATACAAAGACTTGGTGATCTCGTCCCAGTGCGGATCGGCATCCAACAGTGGAACAGTTGGAAGTGTCCAGAAAATGGTTTTGGTAAGTCTTAAAGATGCACGAAACTCAATCGCTAGTCGAGTTGTTCGCCCATTATGCGACTCCGAAAGGCGAAGAGAGCAGCGACTCCCGACAAGTGTGTGGTCAGAATCTAGACAGGTTTTTTCTAAGAGGTAATCGGTTACTGATGACGATGTGATCAGTTTGGGTCTATGGTTGACAGGCTGTTGAAGAACACCACATATTTAGACGAATTTGATTAATTCGGAAGTCCTTCGTAAAAGCAGTATGTTGTCAGTGGATAACTGAGGCAGCCGTTTACCGCGGTCCGTACGTACCGAGTCCAATCCATTTCGGCAAATTGAGTCTGTCCACTTTGCATTCAAGCCGCCGGGAAGCGCGACGACATAGGAGCTTGTGGTAAGCTCGATCAGAGCACTCAAGGCGTCCCAATAGTTGTCTTTGATGGGGTCAGAGCTACTGCCGGTTGGGGCGTAAGTAGACACGATGAACAGGTAGCGACCAACTTCGCGCTTGAGGTTTTGTCAGACGTTGCCTGGTCAGCCACACAGGTTAGTTTCATTGGGTATCCAGTCCGGCAACGACCGTCCGATTCAGATCACCACACAATCTGCCACAGGGGCCTCTGGATTACGAATTGCGGATCCGGAAGTGGAAGGGATGAAGCAGTTAGCGCAATTGTGCTTGATTCTTGAATTCTTGTTCCCTATACACGGTGTACGTCGATCTCAAGGGTGTCCTGTGTGAAAGCAGCTTGTTCTTGCTTCAGAGCGTGATTATTAAAAGTAATCAAGTGGACCGGGCGGGAAGGCTTGAAGATTAATTTCGATGTGTTTTAGGCTGTGGGCGTCGGGTGAATCGCAGATGTATGGACTCATTAATTTTAACGGATGGGTCTGCTACGGGGATGTTGTTAATGCGGTGGAGGGAGAGACCAGGAGGAATACATGAAATTGTAAGAAGAGGGGGTTAGCTGTAGCTTGTTTTCACTGTATGGATGGTTGATGTGATATGAAATGGTTTCTCGGCTTTTCGATATAGATTGGCTCCACTTACAGGACGAAATCTCCATTAAGAACTCCAAGTTCTCCTCAAACTATCAACGAGATCATTTCCGGTCCTGAGATTCATGGTTGTACATGGGCTGCGATACTGCCAGAGGGCTCAAACCTAAACAGGGAACGATTAGGGTCTTCAGCCTAGGTCTAGCTGAAAAAACTCGATCTCAAGGCACGGTGTTTGGACGAGGAGACTGCGTTGGCTAGACTTCTAATCACTGATCAGCCTGGTATTACAGACTCTCCTGGTATAGGCGATTGGGTCACTGAGATACATAAACCGTCAAACCACGATAAGTTTCAGTCCCATAGAAGTGCGACGATTTTCCGAGCAACTGAACTAGTCACGTGACAGATCCTTGCAATACTAGACGAACCTCAACGAGAACCATCTATGCTCTCGGATCTGTAAGCGACATTTTACAACCTAGCGGACTGGTTAAGATTTTCGAGTTAGCACGTGAAACTGGTTTTCGGAGTTATTGTGGATTACAAACATATAACCGCAGTTTTACGATGGGTGGTCTGTCCGGTCCGACGAACCCAGCCTTGTAACGAAGTACACACGCCTCACGGTGACGTACAGGCAACTTCAGAATGTTTACCTTTGACTGAGTGTAGGTATCATTGGAACCCATACGATAAAAAACAAATGAGCTAGTACCTTGTTATGTGTCTTAGCTAGAACAAGCAATATGCTATACGCTTCATCCGATCGAACTGGCTTGCACAATAATCTTTAGAGAATCAGACAACTGTGAATCAATAGCTTTTTTGGCCGACCGAATATACCCGTGAGAGTAACCTTTAGAGTACGGGCGGAGGGCAGCTATTGTCTTTTTGTCTATTACACCACAAATTCATACGATTCGAAAACTGAGCGAATTCACGGATACGTACTTTGAGGGGCGCAAGAGTCAACGGGGTCGATTGTGCCAGCGTCAGGGGAGTTTTGCCCGCGGGTCTACACTAATCAGAGATCGCATGAGTTCCCTGTCATCTATCCAGATTCCAACCTATGAATCACAGCAGTCATTTTTTTCGGATGCACGCGGTATACGGCTTAGGAGCTACGTCATCTCATGATCAGTTTCCGGGAATTATGACAACTCGAGTCAGACTACTCCAAACAGCCGTTCGGAAATTTGATTGCGTTCGCATTGGCGGTCTAACAAATCCTTAGTCGTACGACAAACACATGATACTTCGTATGAGAATGCGAATGAATATACACGAAAGCTCGTGATGGAGTCTGACAGTTACACATAGAACACGAGTGGAGTTAGATGTGAAACTCAAGCATGTATCGTTGGCCACGCATGCCAAATCAGTAAAACGCCTCAACCTAATGAGAGTTAGTTGATGACCGAGTTCTCTTTGAATGAGAACTTGACAAGGGCACGCTTTCTATCAACGAATTTTTCTTCGACCAAGAAAAATGTGTTTTTATGAAATTTTAGTTGCTTTCGTAGAGTCTCTGGAAAACATATGTATTGCCCCCTCAGTCACGAATCCAGCTGACTTTCGATTTTCAAAGGGAGGAGGCTATCGAATTTATTCTATTAACATGTCCCGGTTTCGTTTCCGTATGGCCGCATCAGCCTTCTTTGGCATGTTAAAGTCCTGCGTAAACTAGGTTGGAACAAGTTAAAACATCGAGCTAGTAACACCATTGTCAAGCAAAAACTAGACTCCCAAAGTGGATATTTTAAACTGACAAATAAGCGCACCCAACTGCTGAGCTTCAGGTTTACTCCGTCAGGAGGTGACCAAGAGTAGATCACAGTTCTGACGGTAGTTTTTGTATCTGGAAGTAGATAGAACAGAATATACACAATAAAGTGATAGTCCTTTATCTTCAGGTAAGGGATACCGATATATCGGAGACCACACTTAAGCCACAAATACAACCTAAATACTTTAGTAAACAAGGTATGACGTCAAAGTAGAACGTGTGATGGTGATCGACTTTTAGATCTCTAAACTGACTGACGCCACTTTTAGTTGTTTTACGCAGACAAACGAGGCAATTGCTCGAAGAATGGTATGGAAAATTCAGCGTACCCAGGATAGGTCTGACAGGTAGGCCAGGTTTAGGTACTCTTGGGTCGATTGTGTTCATATTTAATGGTGTAAGTGCCTACTGTCTGCTCAAAGCTTGATAATACCTAGGATAGTTTTTCTCCTGCGAGATGGCCCAAGTGGTTAGAGCGCAAATTTACTGACCGGAAGGTCCGTGGTTCGAATCCGACCTCCGCCACTCGACTTCCCCTGTCTAGGCTTGGGCAACCTGGCAGTATCTCAGCCCTCGTGCTTCTTTCGGATGGCATGGCAGCTAGGCACCAGAAGGGTGCTACAGCTGAACGCTTTTTTTTCTCCTGCGTCTTGTTCTTCTCGGTTCCTCTTGCCTCAACTTTAGATCCACTGAACTGGGCGTTAGTCGTCCTGATCAATATAATCAGACTTACAGTCAAGACGATTTACGTTTTATTTGACTAGGACAACTTCAGTGCTCCGTCTCTTCGTCGAAAATCTCTACTTATGAACGAGGTATTTGTACCACGAATTAGATAATGTCCAGTTCAGCTGTTCTTCACATGACTCTAAGAAGCGTATTTGGTAGAGTCAGTGATAACAATAATAATCATTTAGCTGTAACACTTTCGGTGCATAGCCGCCATACTAATTGAGGGAAGCACAAGGGCTGATATGCTGCCGGGTTGCCCAAGCCTAGACAGGAGCAGTCGAGATGCAGAGGTTGGCTTCGAACCACACGGATCTCCCGATCAAGGATTTTGCACCATAACCACTGAGCAAACTCGAACTCATCTGGATTACCTTTCATCTGACCTCTTAGACGATTTCAAGCCAGAGCTGACTACTTTTAACATAAGGGTAGTAGAATTTAGGTGCCACTGACTGACTCCCAGCTTCGTGTACAGGTCAACGAGGAACTGTGCACATACCCTTGTCGATTGGTTGAGGATTTTGCACCTGACATCAGGGGAATGAGCCGGCTGACGAGTTTCATCTCATTGACATCAGTGAGTGGACACTGAAAACGTTTCCAGTGAGTCCATGCAGTGGAAGCGATTGCGAATCCTGTAGAAATCGAATCGATTCAGCAGCCACTGCAATCAGGCACCATGTATTCAACGAGTAGGACTGCCGTCTATTCGGAATAACGATGTCCTATCTATGTAGCTCATAATTTCGGTCTCACATAAACAGACGTCATCGAATCTGATCGAGGTCAATCTCTCTGCCATCACTCCAGCGCACCGAGCCAGCTTAAGAGTGAGTCCCCCCCCACTAGTGCTTCGCGATTCGTCAACTTCATGAAGTACCGAACAAACACGTTTGAACACAGGATATTGATCTTTTTTGTAACGATACCTGCTTCTTAATGAATTAAACTGTATTTGCAATGGCTCTGCGATGAATAGTCGCCATTCAACTAGGAGGAACCACGATGTTAAGCCAAGCGACCCGAGCCCACATATACATTTGTGATGTTAGGGAATCCCGGTCTTCCTTAGAAATTTATTGGAGTGATTCAAAACGAGTCTGGGCGTATCAATATAAGTCTGAAGGTGATTCCATACGAAGTTTGGGTGTCTCGGGAGTTCTGAAATTTTTCGGGTTTTATCCTAGAGTTTAAGCTCAACTTGGTATACTCCAACTTGGCATCGACTCACGTTTCAATTTCTATCAAGACACTAGGATCTGAGGAGTGTGTGGACCAGAGTCGTGAGAAAGTCGGGAGCCAGTTTCAAACAAGAGTCTTTAGTCTGTGAGCTCGCAACTTCGACCCCATTTTTCTTTTCTGCTTCTATAGAATCATCTATTGCTTCAACTCGTCGAGCCAATAAGACAGAATAGTTCATAAGGGGAGGCAACTGGTTCAATAAAACTTCATGGAATGGAACAAGGATGTATTTTGAAGAGAGGTAGGTCAGATGTGAGGAAACGTGAAAAGACAAAATAGGGGTGTGATCGAAATCTAGATGGCATGTTTAACAGTTCAATGTGCTGGGATGATTGAGTGATGGGGTGAAAAACGAATTAAAGTGAAATGGGGCTTAATTGGTCGGAAAACACATGTTTTACGACGACAAAACGCGACTTCAGAGATTGTCCACCTCAACATCTTTCACATTTAAGCGAGTGGTTTCCTCAGTTAGTTTTTGTAACTCTGTCTGTCCCATTTGGACCAGAAACAGACGTGAGATAGGTTCACAGTTCATGCGCAAGGCCAAGGAATGTGGAGTTTCTTGACGTTTGTTTTTCACCTTGGGGCTGGCACCGCAACTAGATTGAAGGAACATGTGAGTGGTAGCGAGGGACGGTCATTGGTGGTGATAAACAAAACCTTCATTCATAAAGCGCCGAGAACAATTGTCTCAGATTAGTAGCAGAAAGCAGTCAAAGAGACTTGGGAATAGTTCTTTCCATTGACGGAAAATCACGCCTACCAGAACAATAATGCATCGAGAAATCCAGTTCCTCCCAGAAATTTTGTGAGAACACAATTGTGATAACTGTGCATGAAAAAAACTGAACCTTTGGATCTTGGGTTGGTTAAATGGGGTCGATCGTGCACAGAACGAGCTTAGTTGAAAAAATCACATTTATTAGGTGCCCCATGGACGGTACACCCGGAGTTATGAGCACTATCCGCCACACACTTAAGCCCACAATAACGAACATTATTCAAAGCGAAACCAATGCTGGTTACCAATGGTTCAGCTGTACAGCCACGTAAATTCTTTAGCAAAGACTTGTTAGACAGAGAATAACATGTGGGGAAAAGCCTGCTGAGAGCCCAACAGAAACATGCCCCTACTTGATTGGGTTAATATGATGGAAAGCAGGATGCTCCGGCTCAGATAACAGTTCCCTTTGCAACGGTATTGCGAGACTCCCAGATGATTTCTACTGGGTTATCAATCAAAATTGTCCTCTTTTCAAAGGGTGTTTGATTCCATCAATCAGAAAATTTTCTTCAGCAACTATAGACCAAACGAATTGTGTTCACTAAGAACTGCGTCATTTAACTTGAACACAATAAAAGGCTAGGTTGTATAGCTGGACAATGTTGAACTGCATTGGCGGCCTTCATTCTGACTGTTCTACCTGGTCCACAATCAAACCTTCAAATTAAAAAAAAACTCATGCTATATTTTCGGCAACCATACATACGATAGTAGTATAGTGCTCCCCACGTGGTACGAGGAGAGGATAAATTTCGCCAAATTTCGGAGGGCCAGTAGCTAGTGGGATCATCAATCTGACATACGGTTGTGTGAAAGGAATAATCTAAGAACAAGCCTACTGAAAGAAAGGCACAATACCCATCAACAATGCTTTCAAGTCATAGATGTTAAAATAAACTAGTAAATCACCAAAGAATTTCATTACCATTACGCTTACCAGCCTGGGATACAGGCTACGCTTTAGATTTCATCACACATGGTTAGCATACCGTAGTCTTATTAGGGCCGAACACGTCCTTAGTTTACCGGTTTATGCAACCAACACTGGTAAATCGGTTATCGCACAATCCGCTACGACCTGTTGCAGTCCAGGATTTTTTGTGGTTTGGTGAAGACGGTCAGGGCATAGGTGGACTCACAATACACAAGGGTCCGTGCTTTGTTAGTTCAGTTCACCCGCGGACCGCCTTTCAAGGTATAGTGAGATGAACTACTTCACTGGCTGGTCAGCAGCTGTATATTTCATCATTCCAGTGCAGAAATCTGACAAGGAATGTTAGACTGAGTATCAGCGCCGGATATCCTATGCACTTTTGCGACTGACTGGTTTTTACTCTTAGCCGAACTGGTCCAAAATGACTGTCGCTCACTGGTCGTGAAGGACTAATAACTACCAGCACCTGTGCTCCTTGATTAGAAACCGTCGGGACTCAAGTCCATCCACTTAATCGCAAGCACTGTCCACTGCCGGGGCCCCCTATTTCCCTGGCGGCAGCGAAAACTTTCGGTGGGACACTTGTGAGAGATAAGCTGATAAATAAGACTAGACCAATGGGCTGAGTTCTATAAAAAAAACAAGCAGCAGGATCCCGGACAACATGACTTCTCACCGAATGAGGTTCACTTAGACACAAAACGACAAACATGAGACAGCTATAGAGTGCAATCCCGTCGGAAAAAACTTGCTGGAACCGAGAAGGCTGTGCTGTATCGGTGTTACTCTAAGCCAATTAATTGTAGATAACATTTCAGAACAATCGAAGTTTATGTGAGCTCACCGTAGTAAGGCATCCACAAGTTGAACACCATCGAAACCGGCAAGTACAGCCTCATGCAGGGGCGTATTCCCGTTTCTGTGGAAAAAGATTGGACAGTGAACCGATAAAGCGATGTGTTCGCAAAAATGGGACTGATATCTCGAATGTGATTTCGAGTAACTTTGCGGAATTCGGAATGATCTGGTATAGCAGCCCGTCACACGACTTCGAATAAAAATCGAGCGAATGCGGCCGTGTTTAAGTAGTCGTACTTCGGAGCGAACGACGATAGAAAGATATGCAATTCGAGTAGTTGTTGGATAGAAGAAACACTATTTTCGAGCGCCTGCTTCATACCATAGTTGCTTTAAAGGTTTACTGACACCAAGAGGCAGTAAACTGCGATGAACTGAGATGAACGGAAAAGCTCATGAAAACGACGTACGAGGAAGGGGCGTCTGTCCAGCGTTCAATATGCGTGGTTTAAGACAGATAGGGACCGCGTGTAGAAATATATTAGAAAGTAATACGGTAACGACGATTCACCAACTTTGGATGAACAGGCGTTTTAGGATTACAAGTCTAGGCTACTAATGTTGGAGGTTGATCCGTTGAACTATCTCTTCCGTTCTCTGTACACGAAAGTTTCATGCTTATTTGAGTGCAACAGTACTGAATAGATTTGGATTGTGACCAGAATTTGGATTTCAGCTAGCCAACGTGCAACAAAAGCGCGTTTGCCTGCTGATCCACAGAAGTATGCTGAACGCTTCAAAATTGTTAGAGTGATACATAACCTCAATGGAGTGGTGAGTAACGTTAGTATGAAGTGGGACCGACCATTCAGTAATGGCTTGGTTGATTAGACAGACGAAGCCATTTCAAATGAGGGCTACGAATTAACATTCAAACTTCAAGTTAACTTTGGGTGCACACAACCTGCGGGAAACACAAGTTTCTCGAATCCAGAATAAATTGACTATAAGTACTTCCCGTTCGGACCTCAAGTTATCTGAAACGTTCGGCTGGAAGGATCATGGTAGGAAGTTCTAAGACAGCGTAACTTGAGCAGTCATATCGCCGACAAGCGGGGAAAACCGACGTGAAAAGTGGCTGGTTCGCGTGTAATCAGCTGTGTCCACTGGTGACGAAGTACCTGGTCCATAAGCCTATCTATTCAACTAAGATTTGGAAAGTAACTGTTGTTATGTTTGACAAGCACTATGAATCCTCCCGGGTGGTTGAGCACGGTACAGGATGAGCCTAGCGATGCTCACGACGCAACGTGGGGTTATTCGCACAGTTGTCCATCACGACCTACATGGTGCGTAGGGAGATACGGCGATCGACCCTAATCAGGCACTGAATTGTAACCAAAGTATTCGTCTGCTCTTATGAAGGAAGCTACTCGTAAGGTCGTTTAGTAGTTTCCTTCTCAAATATCGTACCAACTGGAATACGACACAGCCTTTGTGCCGCACACGCAGTTGAAGAATATCACAAAAGAGAGATTGAGTTCCCTTAAACAGACATGTCAAGGAGATATGAGAAACTTACGAAAGTCCGGCCGAATTCGGTTTGGCACCCGCCCCAATCAGGATGGGAATCGCTTCAACTCTTCTGTTGTGGACCGCCAACATGAGGGGTGTTCTTCCGTCTAGATCCGTGCAATTGGGATTCGCACCCTGAAGCATAGAAATCAGAACGTTGACGAGACCGCAAAATGTATGGTGCATCTAATAAAGAACACAAAAACCAGCTGGTCATGAGTCTACTGGAGTCGCGACTGGTGGAACTCACTTCTTCCAACAGCCGACGAATATTTTCCGTCCCGGCCTCGTCAGCAGATTTGGAGAGGTTCTCAATGAGATTACGATCCATGGTCTATAGGTTTCAGAAAACAAAATCAGTTACAGCAACACCTGTGTCGGCGACCAAGAAGGGAATATGAATGCACGAGCTATAAGCAACTCGTTACAACCCTGACAGGTTGCAAATGTTTCCCCTGTTTACACGATTCTCATACTAAATGGGTGACGTATAACCATATTTTACTGAATCTTACGCCGACTGATTGATACATACCTTTTGAATGCAGGATATGGTCTAAACAGGTGAAACACTGTAAGACGTTACGCAGCTTTACTAGAGCATTTGATGTTACCAGTTATAACATCAAAAGCTAGAGGACTCGATGAGTAACGACACTGTTTTGGCTATCCACCTCTCAAGAGGCAAACTGATTTGGTTGTTGAGCTGAATGATGCGAGGATAGCGTGGGATCTCGACGCCTCGACATCGTATGAAGATGACTGTAGAAGCAAAGTTGTCGAATGGGATCAAGTGTCAAATCGAATAAACGGTTATGCTCAGTGGCTCTTCACATTCACTTCGCTGCCTGCGGTTAAGCTAGCACTAAGTCCCTCCCCCATCCACCTTTATTCTTTTCTTTACAATAAGGCTTTCAAATAAGTCATGGCTGTACGGCAGTGAGCACTGATGTCATGCTGTCGTTGATGATGATGATGATGATGATGATGGTTATGCTCAGTGGCTCTTCACATTCACTTCGCTGCGTGCAAGATCCCACAGGATACCAATTGTTTCTACGAGGGTTGCTAGGTAAAGCTTAGGCAAAGGCGCACAACAAACCAGCAAGAAAGTCTGCATGAAATTGACACGCAGGAGAGCCTATATAAGGTAGAAAAGCGAAACGACGTACAACAGATCGAGACCTTGGTTGTGCGAAGCGAGAAGGGCGGCTACAACGAAAGTGTAAAGATGAGCGTCGATAGCCGACTGGATATCTTCAATGCGCTAGAGATAATAAGTGGCAAAGGTTTCAGTGGACCTATTTCAACTACGGTTTGCCAAATTACGCCTCATCAAATGGTTGATTTCGGCTTGAAAACCCATGAACGTCTGGATTGACAAAGTCCCTGAAGACGCATTCGACTTGACACTGCCAATTTTTAACTAATCCTGGATTGCACTGAATGTGTTCTGATTCTATTTGAAATAGACCACTGATTATCGCAGCATGACTAAATATAAGTTGAAGGTCTCTGAATAAGGGAGTTGCGAAGGTCGATGGAGTTGAACACTAGTACTGCTGGTGTGACAGATTCACCGAGTTTTAATCTTGCCCCCCTAATGTAGTGCATTAGTGTTTCTTACAAGAAACAGCCGGATGAAGTGAAGAACCTCCTGCAGCGCAGTGTATCACATAAATAGAAATAAATGGGTTCCGCAGGAACATGCGGATTTGCGATGCTCATTAGTTACACAAGGGGGAAGAAGCTGGTCGACACGAACAGGGGGAACACAAGTGGCAAACTTACGGTTAATTTCGATTGCCTCAGAAAAGCCATCCCCGCTTCGCCATGGTGAGGTGTCGCTTCTGTTGACTTTTTTGATCGCTTCGATGTAGATTTTTTGGCTGACTTCACTCTCCGGTTTCCATTAGACCGATTGACTTCGAAACCTACTTCTGCGGCTGCATTGCTTGCCACTTTTGTTCCCTTCTTTTGAGAGCGAGTATCTTGGGAGTAAAAAGTTGAGTGAGAATGGCAATTAGGGTCAATGGAGAGAAATCACAGAAGAACGCAGAAAAAACTTTGCTGTATCCCTGAGGAGTGACTTCCTCCCAGTATAAATTACTATTGGTCCGGTAAATTGTGTTCTCCGGAAGCTGCACGTTTCAATTTAACGATAGAAAATTTAGAATATATGGGATCAAGTAATTAGGAGCGGACTAGCGAATGCATCATATTAATTATTGGACTAAAGGATAACCGGTTGATTACTGGTTATAAACCCGGACAGGCAGAATAGTTGGACTGTGTGAGTGACGTCACAAGGAAGTTATGGTGAGGGTGTGCTCAAATCTTGAAAAGGAGAGTCAGACGAAAATTTCCGTCCTTGTTTGGAGTTTATTAGCTGTAGCGCCTCTCCGGTGCTTAGCTGCTATGCCACCCGAAGGAAGCACGAGGGCTGGGATACTGCCTGGTCGCCCAAGCCTAGATAGGGGAAGTCGAGAGACAGAGGTTGGGTTCGAACCACAGACCTTCCGGTCAGTAAATTCGCGCT